CACCGTCTCGCAGGCTTGAGAGTTTCGCCGCGTGGACCCATCACGTTGCACACGCCGGCGTTGTGTCCACTTGTTGCCGCATTCGTGCGGCATGAAATTCGAAGGGCTTCCTAGGCGGTACCTCCCCGGTAGGCGGACCTCGAGTTCTGTTCCTGCGAGGCGACCCCGCTGAAACAAAAAACGACAGAAGAGACAGTCGACCTCAGCCGCGCGCAGAGGGGGAAGGGGGGAGGGCTTCTTTGAAGCGCCCCTGCTTCTTAGCAGGCGCGGGCCTTGACTGTAGATGCAGGGCCGGCGCTTTCTGAGCAGCAGCCTCCTTCTAAGAAGCCTCCCCCCCTCCCCCAACCCCATTTTTTCGCGCCGCCAACCAGTGGTTCAAGCCACGCGCTTTCGGACGTTCTCGGCGGTGCTCTGGCCTCGGGATGCGGTGCAGCAGCTGCGCCTCGTCGAGGGCGTTCCTGGAGTTTGCCCAGATCGTCTCCAACGGCTGCCGAAGGCCCGAGGTGGCTATGGCCCTAAAGCCACTCAGGGATCGAGGATCGAGGTTGTCAGCGGCAACGTTAGGGGTGAGGGGGGCAGGCCATCCGTCGCCATTTGGGCGCAAGCCTTTTGCTTCCCAAGCCTTCACCAAGTTGGCACAAAGCTGCCCTGTTGGCCCGCAGTCGCGCCCCGCCGCCGCAAGAGAGATGGCCCGCCTGGCCTTCGCAGTCGTCGCCCTCCTGCTCGCCGGCCAGGGCTGCGCAGCCGTCGACACGACCACCGTCGCGGAGGAGCGGCGCCTGGAGACCACCGAGAGCCCCCAGCCGTCCACATCGGAGCCCCTGTCGGCGGCGCCCCGCACGGGCGGCCTGGGCCCGCTGGTCCTGGCGCTCCTCGCGCTCCTGCTCTCCGGCAACGGCTGCACGGCCCTGGACACCACCACCCTCGCCGAGGAGCGGCGCCTGGAGACCACCGAGAGCCCCCAGCCGTCCACCTCGGAGCCCCTGTCCGCGGCGCCCCGCGCAAGCGGCCCGGGCCTGATGATCGTCCTCGGCGCGGCGCTGGGCTTGGGTGCCAGGCGGTGAGCTCTGGGGTGGGCCTCGCGCGAGCGCCGCCCGCATGAGGCGCCGCCGACCACCCGCGTGCAAAAGGCGGCGCGGGTGTGGGAGCTGCCAGGTCGACGGACGGGAATCACCGTCTCGCAGGCTTGAGAGTTTCGCCGCGTGGACCCATCACGTTGCACACGCCGGCGTTGTGTCCACTTGTTGCCGCATTCGTGCGGCATGAATTTCGGAGGGCTTCCTAGACGGTACCTCCCCGGTAGGCGGACCTCGAGTTCTGTTCCTGCGAGGCGACTCCGCTGAAACAAAAAGCGAAAGAAGAGACAGTCGATCTCAGCCGCGCGCAGAGGGGGGCGCCCCTGCTTCTTAGCAGGCGCGGGCCTTGACTGTAGATGCAGAGCCAGCGCCTTCTGAGCAGCAGCCTTGTTCTAAGAAGCCTCCCCCCCTCCCCCAACCCCCTTAGTGCGCGCCGCCAACCAGTGGTTCGAGCCACGCGCTCTCGGACGTTCTCGTCGGTTCTCGGCGGTGATCTGGCCTCGGGATGCGTTGCAGCAGCTGCGCCTCGTCGAGGGCGTTCCTGGAGTTTGCCCAGATCGTCTCCAGCGGCTGCCGAAGGCCCGAGGTGGCTATGGCCCTAAAGCCACTCAGGGATCGAGGATCGAGGTTGTCAGGGGCAACGTTAGGGGTGAGGGGGGCAGGCCATCCGTCGCCATTTGGGCGCAAGCCTTTTGCTTCCCAAGCCTTCACCAAGTTGGCACAAAGCTGCCCTGTTGGCCCGCAGTCGCGCCCCGCCGCCGCAAGAGAGATGGCCCGCCTGGCCTTCGCAGTCGTCGCCCTCCTGCTCGCCGGCCAGGGCTGCGCAGCCGTCGACACGACCACCGTCGCGGAGGAGCGGCGCCTGGAGACCACCGAGAGCCCGCAGCCGTCCACATCGGAGCCCCTGTCGGCGGCGCCCCGCACGGGCGGCCAGGGCCCGCTGGTCCTGGCGCCTCCCTTCGAGCTCGCGCCTGCGTCTTTGCCGGCAACTCCCGGGAGCCCTGGACACCCCACCCTCTGCCGACCTGCGGCCCTGAGACCCCGAGAGCCCCCAGCCGTCCACCTCGGAGCCCCTGGCCGCGGCGCCCCACGCGAGCGGCCCGGCCTGATGATCGTCCTCAAGCGCGGCGCTGGGCCCGGGGTGCCAGGCGTGAGCTCTGGGGTGGGCCCTCGAGCGGCGCGCTGTGTCAGTTCCCCCGCGAGCTGCCGCCCGCATGAGGGCGCCGCCGACCGACCCGCGTGCAAAAGGCGGCGCGGGTGTGGGAGCTGCCAGGTCGACGGACGGGAATCACCGTCTCGCAGGCTTGAGAGTTTCGCCGCGTGGACCCATCACGTTGCACACGCCGGCGTTGTGTCCACTTGTTGCCGCATTCGTGCGGCATGAAATTCGAAGGGCTTTCTAGGCGGTACCTCCCCGGTAGGCGGACCTCGAGTTCTGTTCCTGCGAGGCGACCCCGCTGAAACAAAAAGCGAAAGAAGAGACAGTCGACCTCAGCCGCGCGCAGAGGGGGCTTCTTTGAAGCGCCCCTGCTTCTTAGCAGGCGCGGGCCTTGACTGTAGATGCAGGGCCGGCGCTTTCTGAGCAGCAGCCTCCTTCTAAGAAGCCTCCCCCCCTCCCCCAACCCCATTTTTTCGCGCCGCCAACCAGTGGTTCGAGCCACGCGCTTTCGGACGTTCTCGGCGGTGCTCTGGCCTCGGGATGCGGTGCAGCAGCTGCGCCTCGTCGAGGGCGTTCCTGGAGTTTGCCCAGATCGTCGCTGCCGAAGGCCCGAGGTGGCTATGGCCCTAAAGCCACTCAGGGATCGAGGATCGAGGTTGTCAGGGGCAACGTTAGGGGTGAGGGGGGCAGGCCATCCGTCGCCATTTGGGCGCAAGCCTTTTGCTTCCCAAGCCTTCACCAAGTTGGCACAAAGCTGCCCTGTTGGCCCGCAGTCGCGCCCCGCCGCCGCAAGAGAGATGGCCCGCCTGGCCTTCGCAGTCGTCGCCCTCCTGCTCGCCGGCCAGGGCTGCGCAGCCGTCGACACGACCACCGTCGCAGAGGAGCGGCGCCTGGAGACCACCGAGAGCCCGCAGCCGTCCACATCGGAGCCCCTGTCGGCGGCGCCCCGCACGGGCGGCCTGGGCCCGCTGGTCCTGGCGCTCCTCGCGCTCCTGCTCTCCGGCAACGGCTGCACGGCCCTGGACACCACCACCCTCGCCGAGGAGCGGCGCCTGGAGACCACCGAGAGCCCCCAGCCGTCCACCTCGGAGCCCCTGTCCGCGGCGCCCCGCGCAAGCGGCCCGGGCCTGATGATCGTCCTCGGCGCGGCGCTGGGCTTGGGTGCCAGGCGGTGAGCTCTGGGGTGGGCCTCGCGGCAGCGCTGTGTCACTTCCCCGCGAGCGCCGCCCGCATGAGGCGCCGCCGACCACCCGCGTGCAAAAGGCGGCGCGGGTGTGGGAGCTGCCAGGTCGACGGACGGGAATCACCGTCTCGCAGGCTTGAGAGTTTCGCCGCGTGGACCCATCACGTTGCACACGCCGGCGTTGTGTCCACTTTTTGCCGCTTTCGTGCGGCATGAATTTCGGAGGGCTTCCTAGACGGTACCTCCCCGGTAGGCGGTACCTTCCTGCGAGACGACCCCGCTGAAACAAAAAGAAATAAAGAAGAGACAGTCGACCTCAGCCGCGCGCAGAGGGGGGCGCCCCTGCTTCTTAGCAGGCGCGGACCTTGACTGTAAATGCAGGGCCGGAGCCTTCTGAGCAGCAGCCTCGTTCTAAGAAGCCTCCCCCCCTCCCCCAACCCCCTTAGTGCGCGCCGCCAACCAGTGGTTCGAGCCACGCGCTCTCGGACGTTGTCGGCGGTTCTCGGCGGTGCTCTGGCCTCGGGATGCGTTCCAGCAGCTGCGCCTCGTCGAGGGCGTTCCTGGAGTTTGCCCAGATCGTCTCCAGCGGCTGCCGAAGGCCCGAGGTGGCTATGGCCCTAAAGCCACTCAGGGATCGAGGATCGAGGTTGTCAGGGGCAACGTTAGGGGTGAGGGGGGCAGGCCATCCGTCGCCATTTGGGCGCAAGCCTTTTGCTTCCCAAGCCTTCACCAAGTTGGCACAAAGCTGCCCTGTTGGCCCGCAGTCGCGCCCCGCCGCCGCAAGAGAGATGGCCCGCCTGGCCTTCGCAGTCGTCGCCCTCCTGCTCGCCGGCCAGGGCTGCGCAGCCGTCGACACGACCACCGTCGCGGAGGAGCGGCGCCTGGACCACCGAGAGCCCCCAGCCGTCCACATCGGAGCCCCTGTCGGCGGCGCCCCGCACGGGCGGCCTGGGCCCGCTGGTCCTGGCGCTCCTCGCGCTCCTGCTCTCCGGCAACGGCTGCACGGCCCTGGACACCACCACCCTCGCCGAGGAGCGGCGCCTGGAGACCACCGAGAGCCCCCAGCCGTCCACCTCGGAGCCCCTGTCCGCGGCGCCCCGCGCGAGCGGCCCGGGCCTGATGATCGTCCTCGGCGCGGCGCTGGGCCTGGGTGCCAGGCGGTGAGCTCTGGGGTGGGCCTCGCGGCAGCGCTGTGTCACTTCCCCGCGAGCGCCGCCCGCATGAGGCGCCGCCGACCACCCGCGTGCACAAGGCGGCGCGGGTGTGGGAGCTGCCAGGTCGACGGACGGGAATCACCGTCTCGCAGGCTTGAGAGTTTCGCCGCGTGGACCCATCACGTTGCACACGCCGGCGTTGTGTCCACTTGTTGCCGCATTCGTGCGGCATGAATTTCGGAGGGCTTCCTAGGCGGTACCTCCCCGGTAGGCGGTACCTTCCTGCGAGACGACCCCGCTGAAACAAAAAGAAATAAAAAAGAGACAGTCGACCTCAGCCGCGCGCAGAGGGGGCCTGGGGGAGGGGGAACGGCTTCTGTGAAGCTTCTTGGCAGGCGCGGGCCTTGACTGTAGATGCAGGGCCGGCGCCTTCTGAGCAGCAGCCTCGTTCTAAGAAGCCTCCCCCCCTCCCCCAACCCCCTGTGTGCGCGCCGCCAACCAGTGGTTCGAGCCACGCGCTCTCGGACGTTCTCGTCGGTTCTCGGCGGTGCTCTGGCCTCGGGATGCGTTCCAGCAGCAGCGCCTCGTCGAGGGCGTTCCTGCAAGGTTTTCAGGGGCAACGTTAGGGGGGGGATAGGCTCAGGTGGGATGCATCTACCCGCAATCGCCCATGGACCGTGCGGATTCGCAATCGGGGGCCCATCGCCGATCTATCGGCGTTGCATCGCCGATTCCAGGCCGATGTTTCCCTCCCCCGAGCTGGTCCCCTCCTTCTCCGTGCCCCCATCACGATACCCTCGCAGATCGAACCCCCTGGCGCGCGCCGCCGAATCTCGCGCACGACCCGCTTCTTCTCGCCGCTCCCGTGCTGCCGGGGCCCGCGGAGAGCCCGAACCCCCCCGCAGAGGCCCCCCGCGCGGCCATGGGCGACTTCGCCCCGGCGGGCCGCCAGGACTACTTCGGCACCCCACCGTCCGCCCGGCGGCTGGGCGGCAGGCTGGTGGAGAGGCTGCCGACGTTCGGCGCGGCGGCGGCGGCCGAGGCAGGGCTCCCGTCGACTCGGCTCGATGCGAGGCCGATCGATTCCCAGACTTGCTCGCGTCGTGACAGGAGTGTGGGCGCGAGGCGTTTCGCTGGTTTCGGCCTCTGGGAGCCATCACCAGGCCCAGGGACCGTCAGAAAAGGGCTCAGGACGACAAGCCAGTCCTGGGGAAAGGGTGCGGGATTTCCGGGGACCCTGCATCGTAAAAACCAGGACATCGCACGTCTGGATTCCGATGCCGTTCGATTCGGCCTCGGAGGCCGAGGTGGATCCCTTTGTCTCAGTGGAGGCCGTCCTCAGGATGGCCTGCCGAGTTCCGCCCCTTCGATTTCTCCCCACTTGGCTGGCGTGTTCCACCGATCCTATTCTCAGGGAGGGAACAAGAGAGGGGCGACGGCTAGGGTCGGCGGCAAGCCCAGGGGGATGAAGGAGTGGGCGGACCGTCTCAGATAGCTCGGAAGGCCCCTCGGCCTTTGAGAAGTGTTCTCAGCCTTCCCCGAAGACGCAAAGGTCCTCTCGGAAGGCCAGAGGCCTCCTGGTGAGCCCCGCCGCCTTCTGAGAAGGCATTATCCTCCTCACCTGCCCCCCTCGCTCTCCGCCGATAAGGGGTGGATATCATGGCCTGGGCCATGATATCCTTCCAGATCTCGTGGCCCCTCCTCCTCTCTCGCCACCCCCCATGGTCTCTCCCTCGTCCGCGCACGTGCCCCCGGCCCCGATTGGCGGGCCCCCCTCTTGGACGCCCCCCTCTGCCCAGACATGCGACGTCCTGATTGTTCAATGCCTTGGCATCGCTCGGACGTTGACATCGAGGAGCATCCTGGATCATCCTGCGAAAAATAGACGCACGACGCCGAAAGATGCACGGGGAGTGGACGGCCGAGCGATGGCAAGATAATCACGCGGTCCCCAGAAGTCCCGACCTTTTCCCAGGGACCGGCTTTTCGCCTGGAGTCGCTTTCTGACGGTCCCGGGCCCCAGCGGGGGCCCCCAGAGGCCGAAGTTGGGCGAAAAAACGTACGTCCTGATGTTTCTGGTTCTTCAGCGACGCGAGCACTTTTGGGTTGGACGCCCCCGAGACTCCTGCCGCCGATCGCCGATCCGACGCTCCGAGCCGAGGCGCCCAGCCGCCCTGCGCGGCCCCTGCTGCTGCTCGACCCCAAGACGGGCGGCACGGTCCCCCGAGATCTGCACGGGTTGGTGCCGAGCGTGTTCTCGCCCCGTCTCTGGCCCCGGGCGGGTGTCTTCTGCAGATCGCCTGGCCCAGGGTGCCCCCCGGAGTTCCGAGGAGGCCCCCACGGCCTCCGGAGCACCCCTCACGAGGCTCAGAGGGCCCCAGGGGCTCCAAGACTGAGTGAAAAGTTCGGGGCACCTTGGGCCAGGAGCACCTTCAGCAACACCCGACCCAGGATCAGAGACGGTCGACCTCAGCCGCGCGCAGAGGGGGCCTGGGGGAGGGGGAACGGCTTCTGTGAAGCGCCCCTGCTTCTTGGCAGGCGCGGGCCTTGACTGTAGATGCAGGGCCGGCGCCTTCTAAGCAGCAGCCTCCTTCTAAGAAGCCTCCCCCCCCTCCCCCAACCCTCTTTGTGCGCGCCGCCAACCAGTGGTTCGAGCCACGCGCTCTCGGACGTTCTCGTCGGTTCTCGGCGGTGCTCTGGCCTCGGGATGCGTTCCAGCAGCAGCGCCTCGTCGAGGGCGTTCCTGCAAGGTTTTCAAGGGCAACGTTAGGGGGGGATAGGCTCAGGTGGGATGCATCTACCCGCAATCGCCCATGGACCGTGCGGATTCGCTATCGGGGGCCCATCGCCGATCTATCGGCGTTGCATCGCCGATTCCAGGTCGACGTTTCCCTCCCCCGAGCTGGTCCCCTCCTCCTTGCCCCTCACGATGCCCTCGCAGATCGATCCGGCTCGAAAAGTTACGCAGAAAGAGGGTGGACTACACGCAAGGTCGACCCTTCGTCGGAGTAGCCTTTAGTGTGGGCACAACGGGGCCCCCAGATGGCTGAATACGATGCGACAGCAGCGGCGTGTGCGCTCGGGTTAGGCATCCCCGCGGCCCTCGAAAGTCGCGCACCAGAGGTCACTCACTCAGGATCACTCCTGCGTGTAGCTGAGAGGGGGTCCGGGGCCTCGGTCGCGACTTGACGATGTTGCAGTTTGTTCGCAGCGTCGGATCTCGAGGTCGCGTGCCCGGCCTGGCTGCTCAACGCCGAGACGGCAGGGCGCGCCCGGGGGGTGGCCGCCGGCCTGCTGGGCATCCCCGCCGCGCAGCTGCAGCTGTCGTGGAACGGGGTCGTGCTCGAGGACTCGGGGTCTCCCATATGGGAACCGAGTACAGTGGAGGCCCATGCCAAGAAACACCCTGCTTGCCTCCAGGGTGCCCTGGGTTTCTTGGGCTTCGATGGTTTTGCTGTGGAAGGCGTGACGCTCCCACGCCAAAAATCAATGGACGTCCTGGCGTCTCAGGGTTGGGTTGCTTGTGGAAGGCTTCTTGTGGTCGGGCCTCCGCTGTGGATTCGGGTGTGGCCGGTGGGGCCTCCCAGACGGGGCTCGCTGGAGCTCCCCGCGGGCGTCGCAGGGCGCCCGCGGCCCCTGTGCCCGGAGGCGGCCAAGAGGGGGGTGCTGAGGGGTGTGTGTGGCCTGGCATCGCTCGGACGTGCGTATTTTTTCCTCGGCGAGGACCATCGAGGAGCATCCTTGATCATGTGGCGAAAAATCCACGCACGAAACTGAAAAAAAACAGGGAATGGACGTCCGAGCGACGGCAGGGGGAGGGGTACTTTCAGCCACGCTGGAAGTGCGCCTGGCCCAAGGTGCCCCCAGGAGTTCCAAGGAGGCCCCCACGGCCTCCGGAGCACCCCTCACGGGGCCCAGAGGGGCCCCCAGGGGCTCCAAGACCGAGCGGAAAGCTGGAGGGACCTTCGGAAAAGGGCACCATGGAGCACCCCCCGAGAAGATGGGGTCGGAGACCGCGAGGTCCGCGGGCCCTTCTCTTGACGGCCCTCGGGCCCTGCGGGGGCCACCGGAGGCCGAGGGCGAGGAAGGAGCCTCCGCAGTGGCACGGCTACGCTGGCAGGTCGGGGAGCGGGAGCGGGAGCGATAGCAGGAGGAGGAGGAGGAGGAGGAGGAGGAGGAGGAGGTCCCTCCCCTTCCGAGGCCTTCCGGAAGCTTTTCGGAAGCCGCTGGACGTGGTAGGGGTCCGTGCGTCGCGCCGTGCGGCCCGCGCGCGGCGCGGCGCGGGCTGCGGCGGAGACCCGCCTTTGCGCCTGCATTGCGCAGGAGGAGGAGACAGATCGCAACGATTTCTGATCTATGTCTGTGCAACGTCCATGTCTGTGCAACGTGAAAAGGAAGGAGGAGGAGGAGGAGGAGGAGGAGGAGGAGGAGGAGGAGGAGGAGGAGGGAGGAGGG